CTTGTCTACGTAGCGGTAGGGGAGGGGCCACTTTTCAAACTGGAAATGGCAGCTGAGGACTGTGCAACCGTGAACGTCACTGCATTGTACAGATACACGTTTTTTGCACTAAGCACCACTATACTGTTGTCGGCTATGAGCCAGCAGTATGTTTGTTGGGTTAATTTTGCCGTCTGTAATGATTTGGTACCGCGAACGATAACGCTAATGCTAGTTTGCTAACTAGCTAATTTGCGGTCGTCATTTCCAGTAAATGCACAATGGCCGTGTTTGGTTTGAGACAACACTACCCTGTCGAAATTCGCGCACTACGCCAATGAGTACATAGTGCACATAGTATACTACATGGAAGTGTACTAACAGAACTATGTGATTTGAGACACACCATCTGTTTCATATCAATGTAAATCGAATATCTTTAACCTGGACCTTGGACTCTGGACATCTAGTGAGATCATGAATGTCTGTTTCTACATTTTCTGATATTTTTAGTGCCAATAATGATGCCCTATAATAACCTGCAGCCTTTGATAACATCCAGCTAACCCACTGTGAAAATGCCATGATGAAAAAGGCATATAGTGAGTTATCAGGGTTTCCCACACATTAATTTATTAGAGGTGGTCTGCCATAGTTGTAACATCTGCCGCTGTGTTTTGATTTTCTATTTTTGGAGCTGGACCGTTCAATAGGTGCGCTGCCATTCAGTTATTCATTGCACTGGGGGCAGAGAGCGTGCTCTAGACACAGATGGAGCAGCAGCACATCAGGTGCAGTAAAACTTAATGGTTAATTGCACTGGGTCTAAGGATCTGCTTTCACTCTAAATCCAAATTTAGAGAGTGGACACAGACTGATACACAAGGACACATAGACAAAAAAGGAAAGTTAGCTACCCCTGTCATTCCAATTCTATGGAAAACACCGCTTTTCATGCGTTACGACCTGTGTGTGCACACCACAAGATTTCTCCACCGAGCCCTCGCCGACAGAGCCCCAGATAGTGTGGTGACGTCACCAAACTTGGAGACGACACATCGTAAGGCATGGATATTCTTCCCAGTGTTGAATTAGATCTGCCTCCATGGTCTGAATCCAAACACAACACGCTCCCCGTGATCCTGTGGACGCCGCCATTGTTGTTGTTGCTTGCCAGCTTGTCAGTGTTGCCAGATCTTGGGAGAGAAACAAGCAACCAGGGCTATGGAAATAAGCCCAAAAGAAGCGACTATTGTGCATTTGAATAACTTATTAGATGGATATATATAGAGGAAGTTGACGTTTAGAGAGAAAGCCCAAATAAGCAACTCCACTTTAGAAACATAGCAATCCTGTGGGTTGTCCTCCTCACATTTCTTCCGTCCTCCTGTGTACTGAAGTGGGACATATCCCGCCTCTCACTGGCTGATGCTCTTTGTCAGTCGTGTCAGGCTTCTCCAGTTTTCTAGCATGCCATATATCCAGTCCCAGTCTCAGACAAGGGGGCTACTTGCTCGTAGGCTTGTTCACACGAGGACTCGTCGTGGCAGACTATCTGCCGATTCACCTCTGACCCAAGGTGGCTCTCAAGATCCTCTGTGACGTCAACATCACGGTGAAAATCGTGTAATGTGAACTAGGCTTTAGGGCATTTAGTAATATCTATGGGTGAAGATTGCAGATTGCAACCAAATAAAACTCCTCCCGGATAGAATTCTGTCTGTTTAAGAACCAGTGTTTTTCTGATGCTCTCATTTCAGAGGGGCTTCTCACTACAGTGGCTGACTGAAAGAAACACAAATGGTCCTATCTAGTGTCAGTGTTTGGCTCGTCCGTTCATGGGTACTGTAGAAACATGGCGGTGCAACATGGCCATCTCTGTAGACAAGGACCTGCTCCCTTTATAGATTTAATAGCTCAGTCTACGCTAATAAAAACACAATTCATATTTTTAGGTTATTATACACTAAAGAAAACATACTTGTTATAAGATATTCAATTTCTGCCGATATCCACTAAATCCTGCACACTAGACCTTTAACACCAGAAACTATTCATACTATGTAGCATACTCTAGGTTACCAGTATTAAGAAATGTATCTGTGGACAATGTCAACATAAAACCAATTCAAACTCAAAATGCTTCATCACATTCATTTACTTTGTCTATGTGCATGCATTTATCCCCAACCAGAGACCTGACCTCATGACTCTTAGAAAACCACAGCTGAAGCTTACATGACTATGAAGTCTTTCATGGTTCGGCCAATCGCTACATGACTCTCCTTCATAAGCCTTTCAGAGTTAAGCAGCTGACACACAACCAATGTTCACACTTCTCTCATGTGTTATGTGGATGTTAAGTTCACCATCAGTCACACTTGTAGCTTTAGTCACACACATAGAACCTCAGCGTTACGATACTTGATGGTAAAAGTCAGTTCTTTTTTTCTTACCTAAAGACTAAACTACAATTATTCAACGTTCTTTCCTGTTTCCAACACAGGCTAACATTACAGTACACCTAAGTATTAGCTTGGTCTATTTTGTACACATTTCCACCAATAACAAATGCTTCCTTTAAAGTTAGCAACTTTTATGAAAATCAGTTTTTGTGTCCACATTGTCCACATAGTATTACATGTGATGGATAATTCATCTGCCTCCTCTGCCTTCTCTGCAAGAATCCACCGTATATGAACGAAAACAACAGAGGATCAGAGGAGTCTCTGACGCAGCTGTCAATCATGTCAATCACAACTCGTGAACTGCGATCAAACTGTTGAACTCGGCAGCGTTGATGAAATATGAATCAAGATTCTGCTACTGAGATAGTATGCTACCAGGCCGCCATATTGGAAACATGGCCAAGCACCATCCACCAGCTGGACCAACCTTCTCATTTTACAGCTAAACGGTGCACTAAAATATGTTCCTGAATATATCTGAGGCGAGAAATAAGCAATGCAGTTAGAGACTTTTGATTCAAGTTTGCTCAGCGCTGCCTAGTTTGACAGCTGATTAACGAGATTGAAATTTTGAAGTTGCTTTTTCCACTATTGTCATTTATGCAAGAATTCAGAAGTTAATGTTTTTTCACAGGATCTGTTTAATGCCAATGGTTTATTTTTAGCAACATTTTAAATGAGATTTGGTCATGTTTCCTGGTCTCTTAGCCTTAACTTGGGAAGTCACTTCAGATCAGATCAGCCTTGGTGACACCATGTCTACAACAGCCTGCATGCCTTCAACATTTTCCCCTTTACTGCAAAGTATAACTTGTGTAGCCACATGAATCCACCTGCATCTTTATCCCTTCAGCATACTTGGAAAGGCTCTTTGGCGTTACTTAAGGACATGCAGCGACAGACACAGTCCCATGAATAAGAAATAATCCCAACTGTGCTACTTTGGGGAGACTGTAAAGAACGGCCTTCCTTTAATATTTTACACTTTACCATACAGAATAAACACTGTAGGGTTGCGGGACCACAAACCAAAACCGACTTTTTGTTTTCTTGTTTTTCTGTGTGCATTTAACGAAAACCAGCTAACTTCAAGAGCAATGTTACACATCTCTCAAGAGGAAGTGCAAACAAGGTTGTAAGCAAGAATTTCTGTGTTGATATAACATATCATAGAAGTTCTGATGGTGTTTAAGTTGACACAACAGTTTCTGTATATTTTAAACACAAGTTATTTTCGTCAGGTGTGGCGTCGTAAGGCAGATTAGTGCGCATGAGAGTAGGATTGTGGACAACGTCGTACGTAAAAGAGGACGGGAAGTTTGTGTTGGTTTGGATCGTAATAAGTGATCGTGTTATGCAGAGTTGAAGTATAATAACAGGTAATACGAGAGAATACAAGATGTAATTTTGGAAGGGCTTGGCCTGCTGTTTTGTTTTTCTTTTTGTATTCTCAATAAACCTCGTTCAACTTTTTCCCTGCCTCGTGTGAGTACTGTAGATCTCCAGAAAAGGAACAGAAACACAAGACACCTCACAAACTAAGTGGCCTAGGAACTTTGGTATACTGAAACAGTCACTACAAAAGTGATGACGTGTTGGAATCACACACAGGAAACACAACCTACAGTCAGTGATCACTAATCTTGATCCAATCACCAACGAAAAAAATCAAAGACAAGCACTTTACTAAACAGAAATATCACTTGACATTTCATGTGTTTGACGTCTAGAAGTGACGTGTGACGTCTGAAAGTGTTTGTGAACATCATCTGAGTGAACGTCAGCGTTGAATAGCTCTGCTCCCATAAACTCACTTTTAAATAAGGAGCAGATAAATGAGAAATCAAGGTATTCCATATTGAGGCTGAAGGATTCCTGAAATAAAGAATCAAGTCCTGAGTTTAAAGTGATCATATCATACTTAATATCATTTAGAATTTGCAGTGATATCATATTATTCCTTTGCAACTCATAGATCTGTGGCAACTTTGAGTTTTTTGTAGCCATGTGTTTGCTTTCCTTACTATCCTGTTGCTGTCAGAGTTCCTCTGTCTGAGGGAGGGAGGATGTGCAGTTATTATGAAATTATTAAATCCTTTCATAGTGCCTGTGTGTTCCCACTATATTAAACATTAGTTGCTAACTAGAATATAATGAGACCTGGGAGACAGTAAACAGTGATCAGGACCCATTCTTGGCCTACATCAGCCTGATATAAACTCCATGTACAGTTTCACAAACATACAATTGCAATACAAAAGACATATTTTGGTATAATAAAAATGAAATATATATAAATAAGATTCCATTACTATAAAGCAGGATGTGATGGCTGTTGGTAGCCTACCTACAATCCCTGTAGGAATCTTTCTTATTTATGACTGATATGAAGCCTGTCTGGGGCCTTAACAGAGATAAACAAAGAGAAAAAAGAAACCTATATTTGTCATATGCACGTGTAAATTAGACATATAATTAGATTAATTATAAGTGGCCTGTGTAACCACTCTGTAGCTCCACCAACAAACTTAATTTCCTCTGTCTCCTACTCACCCAAGACACTATGCGGAGAATGGTCTGAGGCTGCTGGAAGAAGGTGACGGGGTCGAAGGCTCCTCCGGCTTTCCCGGCTCCGTATGCCTGCATCCCCTCCATGGTCCTCCTCCTTTCTGCACAGCCTCCTCTCTGGTCCTCCCCTCCTCCCCGCTGCTGGTTCAAAGGCACAGGGTGTGCGGAGCACCGGGCAACCGACACGGAAAATCCTCGAATCTGCTCCTGCTTCTGTACTAACACCACCACTGCTCCTCCTGCTGCTCCTGCTGCAAGAATGGATGCTGGTTTCTCCTCGGCTCCTTGGCGCACAGCCTCCCTGGTCTCTCGTGTTGTTGTTTTTAATTTAACCTCTAAATTCCCTGTCGTCCTCCTGCGATATCCGGCCAGAGGAAGCTGTGGGCTGTGCCAGTGTTGTGATGATGCTCTCTCTCACAGCGCAGGAGCCGGTGGCGGACACGTGAACGCGCCTCCGTTGTCACGCCTCGCACGGGGCGCTCCACATCGAAAGCACCCCTCGTAAAAACACACGGCGAGCACGCGCACGTGTTTATCAAGGCAGCGCGCGCTGGTGCTCACAAGATCGCCACAAGGAGTCACGCGCTTTGTCTGAGGGCTTTTTTTCCCTTCAGCAGGCGGGAGGAGGAGACCTGGGAAACAAGTGGACTCAACCGGAGCAGGACATTCAAAGTTACAACTAAGGGACAGTACTTTATTTATCAGAGCAGGGGGTCGCTGGGGTGTAGCCATGTACCCATTTCTTTTTCTGGCTGTTTATAGTAGATACCCACCTATCAGCTAAAAACCATTGGAATATATAAAGCCCCTTTCCCACTGCACAAAAAACCTGCTACCACCTGTTTACGTCTGTCTCTTTGATGCAACAGGAAAGGTTTTAATCAGCATTCAAACCAGAATCAGAGTCATATGTATTTATCGCCTCTGCCGCAGATAGGCATGGATGGAAATACTATACCTGGGTGAATTAATCCACTTTTACGTGTGGAACCTCCCGTCTACGACTGGCTTGAGATGCACCCTCATTGAGGACTTCGCTCAGATTATTGTGATCCCGTTTGATTCGGCGGTGGGAACCTCTTCCTTTGCTGACGTCGACCCCAGCAGGATTTGAACCCTTGAACCTTCCGCATGGAAGACGAGTGCTCTGACCGCAACACTAATGCTATACAAATACTTTACCTAGGTGAACACGCTAATTTTAGCTAATTCTGCAATGATGTTCATTCATTCATTGTTCGTAATTGCATATACTGTTGGGGTTGTGGGGGGGCGAGAGGTGGGGTTCACCCTGGACAGGTCGCCAGACTATCACAGGGCTGACACATAGAGACAGACAACCATTCACACTCACAGTCACACCCATGGACAATTTAGAGTCACCAGTTAACCTGCATGTCTGGATTGTGGGAGGAAGCCGGAGTACCCTTGCTGATACAGGGAGAACATGCAAACTGCACACAGATAGGCTCCCCCATCCTGGGTTTGAATCCCCCATCTAACCAGAAACCCTGGTTGGCAACAATGCTTAACCACAATTAGTCTGCGCCGAGTTTGAAAGAGAGACTGAATAAGTCAGAGATATATAAAAAGAAGTAACCACCATAACATTTTCACTGGCCTCCGTGCTCATCTCTGCTGTTTACTGACCTGGCCTGTCTGTGATGTCGAATGTGACACACCAAAAAACCCACATGCACACAGAAGGGCATACTTATCTGCTGCAGACCCGTGTACAAAGCACTGATGCACTGGCAATGGGAAAAGAGCCTATAGCCTATTTTTAGCGGGTTTACACATGTTAAAAAAAAGCAGTTTACACATACTAATTTTGGTGAAAAGGGGTATAGCAGAATATAACCACTTCCTCCCCAATAACCTACCTAGCCACCTAGTAGTATACCTCATATACCTATACCTCATCAGCTACCACAAATACTTTTCCTGTAGCTTTCTTGAATGACTGGGAGAAAAGGCATGACCTTCCCTCCACAATAAATCACCATATTTAACCATTTCTTTTGGGGTTCTGAGGGTATTTAACAGAAATACAAAATACGATTATTTAAAGTTGAATGTCCCTGCTCTAAGTCAAATTTAAAAAAAAAACGTAACTCTCTCCCTAGTACTTAAAAAAAAATATCTGAAGTGCCTGTCCCATTTTGCACCACCCCATTCCCTCTCATAAGTAACGAACAGTCCCTAAACTACACTTAAAATGGAGATTAAGATTAAATATTTGTTCAAGGTTACTTAATATTGACTTAGAATATTGAATTATGTCTGAAAACACTGTAACAATATGATAATACATTTAAAAGCGTTACAAACACCACAAAACTTTAAGAAATAAAGTGATTTATGATGCTGAGGGAAGAAATCCCGCCCTCTAGTGGCCTTACCGGGCTTTGCTTAAAATATTTTGGGTTTTAAAACCCTAAACAGGTCTTTCAGGTAGTTCTCACTCCTGACCCATGTACCGTATTATCGTGCCCGAACAGCAAGCCTCACCTGTCGAACAGATCTTATCTATGGTTGAATTTTCGGCTCATAAATCTTTCCAGAAACGCCGATAACTGTCCACAGCTTTTGAGGAAGCGTGCCTGTCAGACATGCTCAGGGGAAGAACACCACGCTCCAAGCTTCCTCTTACGTCCTCACAACCAGCCAATGACAGCAAAGCTACGCACTGCACGTGCTCGCTGTCTGGACCAATGAAACGCCTCTATGGCTGGTTGCTAAGAGACGCGTTGTGTCTGTGTTACCGAGGGCAAAAGAAGAAGATTGATGCACAGAGATCTAAAAACTGAAAGTAGAGCTTATTTGGCGTCATTAATGAAACAAGAGAGGTTACTCACAGTGTCCGGAAGTTATCCACGGTGATGGTGAAGCTGAGGGCGCGATGTCTGCTCGTCGGTAAGGTTTTGAAAGACATCTTTATGCTACTTAAGGTTAACGGTACAGGGGCTAACGGTAAAGCTAACCAGTCTGTTGCTAAACTCACCCTCGTCTAGTTAACTTAGGCGTTAAAACACTAAAGATAAATAGACGGTCCCCTGTCTAATGCTTCCATGAATGTACAAAAATGTATTTAGGGTGCAGCGGGCAATTCGCAACAATTTGCTGGTTATGTTTTCATTAGTATCACTCATAATACCTCAGATGTTGTGACAGTTATTAGCATCACAACCAAATCACTAAGTTACTAGTAGATATTTGACAATTGCTAGAAGGTCTGTCTGTGTTTGTGTTTGGACTCCACTGACTGTTTTTCAACTTAAACTTCAACTCAACTTCAACTTCAACTTTATTTTGTTCCTCGAGGGCAATTAGTTGCACAGCAAGTAAAAAGACATACAAAAAAAGACACACAAGAAAAATAAATAGTACTCAACAATTGGGTGAGGAGAGGGGATCCAAATACAGTGATCTGAAACAACAGTGGTCATCTCCAGCAACCATCAGTGTCTACATCAGCAACATCATCATCATCAACAACATCATCACCATCACTCATCACATGATTACAGCAAGAGTAACAACCAGCCAAAAGAGTAGCCTCAGTTAAGCATGACTCTTCCACTGCCCTGCATTCGAAAGAGAAATGGCAGTAGGAATGAAGGAGTGCTTGTTTCTGTTACTCTTAACAGGTTTTTGACAATGCCAGTGTTCAAACTCTGACTGACAAAGGTGAACGATGAATTTGATTGACGAAGCACTCCGAAAACTGCATTTAACACACACTTTTACATAAAGCAAAGCTGAGAAATAAGAATTGAAAACTTAAACAGACACAGATTTTGATATTATGTCTCTCTTTCTCTGTCTGTGTGTGTAGGAGATGCTGCGGTGGGGAAAAGCGCCCTTTCCCACATGTTCCACAGTGACGGTACTCTCTTCCAGAAGAACTACAGCATGGTGAGAGCAACACACACACACACACACACACACACACACACACACACAGAAAATACAATATTGCTGGTTTAATCCTTCTTGCAATACTGTCACATGACCTCCAGCAAGGGCACGCAGTTCCAAATACACTGCGGTGTATGTGGAGCACCCTGCATACTCTTGTTACACTCCTTGTAATAAAGATATATGTATTCACATCACACAATTACAACTGAGGAATTGGGTTGTAAAACAACTGGTGGAGGGATTTAGGGATTGGCTGCGCTCTGAGCCGGGGACTAGCCACAGGCTTATATTTTTACATTCAGGTAGGGTAGCTAAGGGTTTGAATCAAATTTGAAGGAGCAACTCGTGAAGTCTGGCTCACTGCCAGCCCAGGATAGACAGCAGTACGAGGATCCATGTGCTATGAAGTGCTACAATACTTATCTAGTATTCAGTTATTCGGTCCTACCTGATATTACAGCAGCTAATCAGTGAGTTGATAAGCACAATCTGCTGCTTTACTTGTCACATTTTTAACAAGACTTTGTTTAGAGTAACTTACCAGGAAACCCCCATAGTACTATGACCTGTAGAGATCTCAGCAGGCTCTTCAATAGATGTAGACAGTGCAGTTGAGCAGTAATAAAGTACTTGTGGAGCACAGTTTAGAATCAATAATGCACAGTCACATATTTCAAATTTACTCAATCAATAAATACACTTAGAATTGGGCAATTATTCAGTTTGCCTGAGGTCATAGCTTTCCTTTTCCCAAGATGTTATTATGTATCAGTTGCAAATCATCAAGCCCAATAATAGTAACTGATAATCATGATCATATTACTTGAGTAGTTTCTTTAATGGAACTCCTTGCAAGCTTTTCAAGGACCTGCAGAGGTCTCTTAAGTCTACTCCAAGAATCACCAAAGTGCAAAACAGCATAATGTACCAATTAATGCTGATGCAGAGAAGTCCAATCTGCATTATTTATGCTAATCTGCACGAGGGAGGGAACTGTGTCATTAACCTGACTCTGTGATATATGGGGTCATGGCTGCTCACTGATTTCCTCTGTCACTTTTTCAAGGGCTAGTACTGCCTAAGTGCATGCACTATACATGCAAGTGAATGCAGGTGCAGTGCATATGCACTAGCACAGCTTGCGCACCGTCATTCGTAAGTCTGCTTTTAAGCCTTGTAGCTGGTTAGGGTACAGAAAAGGTTGGTGGGTAAATACTGGACAAGAGCCAAGTGTGTGTATATGTGTGTGTTTGTTCAGCGCTTGCTGTGTCAGCAGTATCGGGGGTTCTGAGGTGACAGGAATGTCGATAATTAATACAGCAGGATTCTGGAGAGACACCAGAACAGGTACTTAACAAGCATGCGCACAAACACACACACTGTACAACAGTGTTGAGTGTCTCCATACTGCATAGACCCATACCTACTTGTTTGTGATGCTGCATGTGTCTGTTCATGTTGGACAAGTAGAGTATTAACAGAGTAGAAAGGTGCTGCAACAGTGCTGCATTTTTAATTTGCACTGGCCAAGAATATGT